TTGGAAAAAAAGGATTAAAAATAAAAAGATCAGGAAGTCATGATGACATATTTAGTAAAACAAATTTAGATTTAGAATTTGAAATGGATAATACTGATTCAAAGAATTTTTCAAAAAGTGAAAAAAATCAAGGCTGTATGTTGGTTGCTACTGGTAGCGCTGATCCCTTTGTTTATATATACCAAGACGTAATAAACTATTGTTAATTATTTTTTAATTTTATTTATATTTTTTTTGGATAATTTTTAGAATGAAATTTTACAGAAAATTGAAGGACATACAGATAGAGTTTATTCAGTGTCATTTCACCCTACTGAACCAATTTTACTTTCTTGCTCTGCTGATTCTACTGTTAAGATGTGGAGTTATAAAAAATATTCATAATTTGGGTTACCTTATTGAAAGATTCTGTTGTTTTATATAAAAAAAATGAAGCAACAATAATGTTTAATTAAGGTTAATATTGCGAAAGGAAATAGTAACTTGATTTTTCTTTTAAACTTATCCACTGGCTGTCTAGATTAGTGTGTGTATGTTTATCGAAGTCTATGCTTGTTCGTTTTTAATTTTTCGTGTCGTGTTTTTTGCGGAGTTTAAAAAAAAAAAAAGTAAAATAAAACTAAAACTTATAAAAAGTTCTATTAAATTTTTGCCTAAAATAAACCACCTTGAAAGAGTTTTTATTAAGCAATTAATTGGTGTATGAAAGAACTAATTTTATCAAAACCAAATAAAATAGTAAAAAATTAAAAAAAGAAATCTTAAATGCATATCAAAGGGTTACCTCTTTCAGGAAAACGAGTTCGAGAATTACCAGGAATATCTTTTAATTTAGACATTAACTTAAAAAAAGAATCAACAAAAAAAATTTTGAAAAAAAATAGTAATAATAGTGGTAAAATAAGAAATATTGAATCTAAAGTTTTGAATGAAAGTTTATCTAATGAATTTAATATCGATTTTGATTATGACGAAATTTGTTTAGGTATTAATCTTTTTGCAATTTTGTTTTTTTTAATATCTTTTAACAGATGTCAGTAACGAGGAACTGACTGAAAGAAAAAAAGTCAAGGAAGATGGCATTTTTAAAAGCAGTAATTTCAATGAAGCTAAATTAGGTAAGTAAAATTAAAAGTTGGGATTTTTTTTACATATATTTTATATTTGCAGATAGCAAATTGGAAAATAATTATAATAATTTCGATGATAGAGGAAAAATGAATGGTAAATTTAATAAAAAAAGAGAATACATACTTTTCTTAAAAAAAGATAAATAACTCATTTATTTAATAAATCTTAAAAATTTTGAAGTAATGAAATACCCTGATATATCAAACTTGGAATCCAATAAACTCTTTATCAATAACAAAGGTCATATTGAAGAATATGAAATAAAAATAAAGATAATTGATACTTGCCAAGTCTTTCAAAATTTTTTAATTCAAAAAAAAAAAAAAAAATCATTTATTGTTAAAAAATTTAAAAAAAGAAATAGTATAAAAAATTATTTAAATGGAAATGGATATGATTTAAAAAAATACACTAACTTAAATATGTGCAGTAAAAATAATTCAAAAAACTTTAATCTGGTGCATTTGAATAACGGACATTTCAAAGACTTGATTGATAAAAAATTATATTTAAAAAAAATGAAAAATGAACAGGAAATTTTTAGACGAAAGAAGGAAAAAAATCTAGTTTCAAAAGATAATAGTACAGTTTCATTGAAGGATAGTGCATCATACACAACAGTTAAAGTGGAAAATATTGATAGATTAAAAAGAGGAAACAGCATTAGCACTTCAGAAGCAGAAAGTTTTGCAGAGGAGATAGTATCAGGAGAGAATGGACTAAAAACCCATCGACATTTCGTAGAGGAGATGCTTAAGACGAAAAGTATGAAGTTCATCTGCAACCCAGGGGTGAGTTGCAACTTGTGCGGAGGGATGAAGACAGGACAGTGGAGAAAAGGCCCAAATGGTAAGTTAACATAAAAACAAATGCAATCCCATATAAAAATGATTGTTAGGCCCAAGAACACTTTGCAATGGATGTGGAATAGCATATTCTAAAAAACTTAAAAAAGGTCCTGTTTCTTTAGA